TCCATATAAGCTAAAACTTATACAGATGTTTTTAAAGTTTGAGTTTGAGATGAATATAAGTTGGTTTTTCAAAATGTAGATAAAGAATAGGCTGAAAATTGTGAGCCAATTTTATGAACTAGAGAATTATAATAGATTCTCCAGAATAATGAAGTTATAGTTTCTTCTTGATCTATGTCATTTTTAACTGAATAAAAGTTGATAAGATCAAGATTAGATATAATCTGATTTTGGCGATTAGTAAGAAGGTTGGTAAGTATATTAATGAGGGTTTGAAATATTGATATCCATTTAAGAGATTTTATAAAAAATTCTAAATTAACAGAATCATATGCTTTGCTCATATCCTAAGACAGAAACTATAATTTTTTGTTGTTGCAACTAGCGTCTTTAATAATATTGTTAAGTATATGTATAGGAATAGATGTATTATTGCCAGATAAAGCAATATAGTTATAAGGGGATAGAATAGAATGTTGTATAAATATTAAGTTGAGATGATTAGTAATAAGTTTTGTGTATAGTTTTTTTATATATTAAACAAGGCTGATGGGTCTTGTATTAGAGAGGTTTTCATCAAAAATAGGTTTTTTAGATATTAGAAAAATGCAGTCTTCTTTCTATTACTTAGGTATATAAGAAGTTTAGATACATTGATTAAAAAGAATAACTATTGCTTGAAAAAAAATAGAACCAGCCTGTTTAAACATTTTATAACTAATTCCAGAAGGTCTATATGCTTTGTTATTAGAAAGTTTGTTAAGAGTTCTAGTATTTCATCAAATAAAAATTTAGCTAAGACTAAATTATAATAGTCTAAACTAGTGGTAACTTTTGGTTTATATTCCTCTAACTAGTTGGTATTAAATTCATAATCATTAATGGGTCTGTAGACAATCCAGTTATTGAAATGATGTTGGATATATTCTTTAATTAGTTTGGGTTCTGTAATGATATGATTTGATGTTTTTATGTTGTTAAATTTTACTAGATCCTTATGATGATTGAGTATGCTGTTGATCTTAAGTTTAGAATTAGTTTGAAATTTGAAGCATCTAAGATTAATATACTGATTTATTTGATCTTGAATTTGTTTAATGTTTTCTATATTTCAGACATAGTAAAGAGCTTGTTATTCAGTATTAGTAGTAGTAATTCAGTTTGGTATAAGCTCATAAGAGTTAAATATAAGAGATATATTAAGGTGATGTGTTGAATTAAGATAGTGTATAGTAGGATTGAAATATATAGGTATAGATAATGAGTTAGTTAAAGAGGCTTTAATTTGTCTAATAATGTTATTGTATTTTTTAAGATTTAGATAGAATAAAGTAGCTTTAGCTGAAAATAAGTGTTGAAAGTTGCAAATTATAATTTTTTTGTTAGAAATATATTTAGTAACAGCATTAATAATACTAATTTGGATTTTATATCAAGTAGTTTTGAAAGATTCAGAGATTTGAGTAGAAAGAGATGTTTTGTTTATAGTAAGATTAAGAGAAACTTGGTTAGTAAAGGTTTCCCATTGTTCTTTATTTATTGCTTTGTAGTTAAAAGTTCTGTGTTTGGTTCTAGTTAAATGTCTGTTTTTGCTTATAAGAGCATAAGAGAATGTCTAAGAGGATAAAAAAATTTTGTGATCACTTTGAATGCAATTTTCTACATTATCTAAGTAAAAAGAATTGAGATATTTAAGTAAAGAAAAGTAGGCCCAAATATAGTTGATGGTACTGTGATATTTACTACTATACCAGATATGAGAAAAGGTGTTTGTATGATCTGCCAAATTATAAATATTATTATATTGTAAAAATTGCAATAGTTTGTATTTAATAGATGAGGAGATAAAGTTGTTAGATGGTACATTAAAGTCACCTAGTATTATGGGTAAAATGTTTTGGTTAGAAGCTTCTTGGATCCATTGAATAATAATGTTTTGAATTTGAAGTCTTAATTGTGAGTTTTCATATAGTAGATATATAGAGATAATTCAGAATTTGTGATCATGTTTAAAGAAAAGGTCTATAGCTATAGCATAGCCAGAAAGAGTAAAAAGATTGTGTATATGAGATGTAGAGTGTTTATGAATTATGAATACAGTTTCTGCTTTAAAACTATTAGTATATAATCAGTAATAAGAATAATGTTTTGAGTTATAAAATTTAGTAATGCCATTATCTTTTACTATTTTAGTTTTTGTAATACTAATAATATTTAAAGAATGAGTAATACAGTAATCTTCTCAGACTTGTTGTTTGAGATTTTCATTGTATTGTAGATACAGATTATGAGATTTAGAGATAAGATATTAGGGATTCTGGGTTGTATTAAATTGTTAGAAATAGAAACTAAAGATACTGGTATAAAAAAAACTGGTGTTGATGTATTTGATTTTAACTGAATGTTTAGATAATGCCAGATAGCTTGAATTGGTGAAATAAAGTGATTAGGTAATGGTTTAGCTTTTAATAGAAAATAAACATGAGTTTTATTATAATCATTTTTAACAGAGATTGTTAATGTATAACTATAAGTATTATCAGGTGAATAATCAAAGCTATGAATATGTTATAAAAAAGAAATAATAGTTTGTAGATGAGAAAGTAGTGATAGATGGTTGTAGAATAGAAATTTGATATAGCAGATATTAAGTTGAATATTGTCATAGTGTTGTTTAGCTATGTCAGTTTCATCATGACCTTCTAAAATGGCTCCTATTAGTTGAAAATAAGAGTAGTTTATGTCATTTTTCTTTATAATAAATTTGTATTACATGATATTTGTAACATATTTTCATAGATTTCAATGCCAAATTTTTTGAATATTATTTATAAAAATAATCAAGATCAATAGAATCAGATTTAGAGTTTATTAAAATTAATATTTTAAACTAGATTTCTTAAGAAACTAAATTTAGTTTGTTTAATAAGATTTTGAATTATAAGTCTTTGAAATTTGGATATAATTATAGGATTTATTATAAGATAAGTTTTGTATTTATAGAGGTATTACTGCAACTTATTGTGACTACTGTGACTGGTATAACACAAAGTTATAATTAATTATGTATTACAATAACTACTGTATAATAAAGTACAGAATTTATTTTTAGTAAATTAATATAGATTAATTTGTAATAAAAAAAGATCTTTTTTAGTTAATTTAATTTATATAATATTATATTAAATGAAACTAATTTTAGAAATAATTTGAAGTTATACAAAAAACATATAAGAAAAAAAATTTAAAGGTAAAAACAAAAGAATTTTTTAAAAAAATAATAGAGAGTTAAGACTACAAACTTCTTTTTAGACTTGTTTTATTAAAAAAAAATGCTTTATAACTTTATTATGACTGTATTATGTATTAAAAAATAGTTAATAAGAAATAGTTAAAAGTTTAATTACAGAATCCAAAGATTGTTTTAGCAGTATTAAATTGCAAGTTTGAAAATTAGAGACCTATTACTTTTAAGTTATATATAAAATCATGAGCTAAACAAGTTTACTTAAGACACTAAAGTTAGTTATCTTAATAAAATAGCTAGTTATTAATGGTTTTGTTACTGACAGATTTTGTTATTTTTTGTATAAAAAGATTTAGATTTAAGTATTTTTATAAGTAATACAAAATAAAAAAAGAAATAATTATTATTTCACTAATAGTATATAAGATTTGATTAGTGTTAGTACTAGGGTTAAAGGTTGATATTAGAAAGATCATCTAGTAAAGAATTTTTTTTCTTAGAATATAAAATATAATTTTCTAAACAAAATTTTGAGTTACCAATGATGTTTTAAAAAATTCTTTAAACTCATATAATATAAAGATTGTACCTGATCTTGCAATCTATATAGAACAATTTCCTTTTTAGACTTTACTTGCAGAAATAAGTTTATGTACTTTTATCCAAATTAGAATAAAATTTCTTTTAATTTTAATTGGCTAATTAGCAAATAAAACAGACTACATATAAAATAATTAACAAAATTCTTGTATACAGTATAAAATTGACAAAGATTAAAATCAATTTTTCTGATATCAATAGTAGTCAAATAAAAAATTAATTAATATTAGGGTTTGGATTTAAGTGAAGGTTAGAGGTAGCTATAGTATAGCAAAATTACATGAAGAAGATTTTTTGTTAGTAACACCAAATTGATTTACTAGTTTGAATTTCAAGATAACCTTGATTTTTGTAAAATGAATATTTGTTTTAATTTTTTTTCATTACATCTAATTCTGATTTTTAATTGGCTAACTAATATAAGAAAATCATATGAACAGAAAATTGATCCTATGCTTTGGCATTGTCCATATAGTATACACAGTATGTATATATTATACATATAGTACTGTATATAGCATATCACTAATCTTCTATTCTAAATAATAAAAAGACTATTGTTAGTCTGCAATAAAATACTTATTCTGCTTATTTCAACTTAACAACATCTTATACAGTATAGAATATAAATGGACTTTAACAAATTTGAGTCTATTACCAAATTTGAAAAGGGTATCAATTACATCTGCTGCATCTGACACATGTGACCAATCTATTATATATAACATATATAATGAATGTGACAGATAACAGCAATTAGTCAGAAGAGAAATATCAGTAGAATATAACTGATCAGTAGCATCAAAGATATCAGCCATATCCATTGCACAATATAAATAAAATCCTACAATTATAAATAAAGACCAAAAGGCCCTTTGAAAAAAAAAAAATTTCTATCCTTAACAAATAAAATAATATATTCACTAATACATAATCTGTTTCTAACCCATAAAGTACATAAAGTGTGTTTGTATATCTTGAATAACTAAGTCTGAAACCTCCCTGTTATTAAGTAAACCTAATTAAAATACTCTTAACTACTCACTAAATCTAACACACTTTTTTTGAATAATATTAATTCAAGTAGTTATATAACATAGTTGATTTTGGAATCACTGACCTAACAAACCTTTTTCCTATTTATAATTTGGTGATGACTGTGAGATTCAAAACATTGCTATATTGAATTACTATTATTCTGTTTGGCTGTAATATCCTAAAGCACTAGGATCAGTTGTGATGACTCATTTCCAATTATCTGAAGAAGTGTGATAGTTGTAGTTATATAATTAGTTCAATTACTCAAAATAAAGTAGTAATTGAGGAAATAGAAAGAAAATAAGGTTAGAAATGTTGATGATATAAAAGAACTATATCAACAACTAGAACAGATAAATAAAAGACTTATTGCTCAAATTGAAAGCCACTTAAAACCCTAATCAATGTATTAGAATTTTAAATCAATCTACAAAAAAAAGAAAAAAAGTTAGAAGAGAAAGCTAAAGTGAAGAAGATAAAGAAAAAAATTTATAGAAGTTATCTTATATCTAGAAAATCTGAGAAAACTGAACCCAAGATAGGAAAAACCTATTTTCCACAAGCCTCAAACTATAAATGAATCCAAAAAAGTTTCTAAAAAGAAACATAGTACCTTTATTGCAAAATAAAGAAATATGTTGTTAGTAAATGCTTAGAAGTTAAATTACTGTAAGAAAAGTGTGCTGTCTTTTTCAATACACTTACTAAAGAACAAGTTATTGAAGTTCAAAAAATTATTAATAAAGTCTTTGGAGATCATCACCTTAATAACAAGCAACTTCTACAAGCCTTTGAACTTCTACTAGAAATGTTAAAAAATATATTTAAAAATGTCAAAAAAGAGGAAGAAAATATTGTATGTCTATCTCTATACATACCAATCAACCTTATTTCTTGCAGTTGTTTCCACTCTACATTTATAAATGTTATTTTACAAAGATTCAGGAGGAAGTCTTTATATTTTCATTTTTAGTACCTTTTGTAATTTCTATACCAAAAGTTCTCTTAAAGTTTAGACAACCAACACTTACAGTATCTGATACCTATGACAACCTTGATGAATCTGCAGAAGAACCTCTTGACTTGGAATGTCTGCTTCAACAATTAACTGCTAAATACAAAGTATATACAAAAGTGGGCTTCAGAAGAGGTTGTTCTAGAACCTTTACAAAAAAATAATGTTAAAAAAAGAAAAGACTTGAAAACACTAAAAATGATAACAACAATGATGATAATAAAAAAATAATAATGATAATGATGACAACAACAGAACCAAGTTCAAAACAGATGGAATTGAAGTTAAAAAGACCAAACACAAGAACCCTGATGTGTGATGTTTCATATTAAAAAACCTGGATCAATTCTGTGAAGATTGAAATAAAAGAACTGATAAGTTTAGGAAATTAATTTATGATGACCTCAAAAAAGAATCTGCTAATGCCAATGAAGAGACACTGAATATTGGAATTGTAGTTGAAAAGAATGATCCTAAAGAACTTGAATGGTATTTAGAAAAGGCCAAAGAGGATAAATCAGATGGAGGTTTAATCCAAGATGACCCAAAAGAACATGTTGATCCCAATGAAGAGACACTGAATATTGGAATTAAAGTTAAAAAAGACAATTCTAATTCATCTGAATGGTATTCAAAGAAGACTGAAGAAGGTAATTCAGATAGCAATTAATCCAAGATGACCCAAAAGATCCTACAAACATCAAAGAAGAGACACTGAACATTGAAATGAAGTTGAAAAAAATGATCCTAAAACACTTAGATGGTATTTGAAAAAGAAGACCCAGCTGGTTTGAATAATGAGCAAATCAGGATGGATTATCAGAAGCATACTGATATAAAACCTATGGCTGAAGGAACTAACAAGAACAAAAAGTCTGAAACACCTAACCATAATTGTCACAAAATAGTAAATATCAAAAAGGATAAAAATGGAATTGGAGTTGAAACAGATAAATGTAAGGCCTTTTGATACTTACCAATGTATGGACCATGCATCTTCGATCCTGGTGGTTTGACCTTGTCTCGTGGAACTCGACCTTGAGTCGGAGAGAAATGTGGGACCTGAATGGACCCTGGCCGGTTGGGGTCCATCACCAAATTCGGAAAAGAGGGTTGATCGCATCCGTCGCATCCGTCGCATGCGACCGATCAGTCACATGTGACACATGTGACGAATGCGACAGATAGCAGCGATCGGTCAGAAGGGAAATATCAGTAGGATATGACTGATCAGTAGCATCAAAGATGTCAGTCGTATCCATCGCACAATGTAAATAGAATCCTACAATTATAAATAAAGGCCAAAAGGCCCTTTGGGAAAAAAACAATTCCCGCCCTTGACAAATAAAATAATACATTCGCTAATACATAATCTGTCCCTAACCCGTAAAGTACATAAAGTGTGTTCGTATATCTTGAATAACCAATCCCGAAACCTCCCTTTCATTAAGTAAACCCGATTAAAACACCGTTAACCACTCGCCAAATCTAACACGCCTCTTTCGAAGATGTGGTAATACGACGTAGCCGATTTTGGAGCCACCGACCTGACGAACCTTTTTCCCGTTCACAACGGGTTGATATCTTGTTATTTTTGATATTAAACATTAGCGACTCATAATTGAGAACTATATTAGGTGTAGAGATGGGTTCGGTGGAGTTTCAAGATCAATTATCGAGTTCAGCAATAGTCCAGCAATAATAAAGTAGGGCTTTCAATTATGCAACATAATACACAAACGCATCGTTGCTGAACTATTGCTAAACTTGATAATTGATTTGTAAACTTCTATAATTGCCGAAGTGCCCTTTTACCTTGGCGGCACTCATATTAATTCTAATATTATATATATGTATATTAAAAAAGCTAATTTATAAGCGAATAATTTGACTCACGCTAATATGAGTGCCGCCAAAGAAAACCAGCAAATCTTACTAGATAATATTTGCTGATTTTCTCTTGTTAACACTCATAACTAACATAAGTTTGAAATAGTGCAAAAATTCGCAGCTATATATAGAAAATAAATTTTTATGCTATATAATGAGCATTTTATGCGCATTTTATATCATGCGCATTAATGCGCATTTATGCGCACGTTATTATATAATGCGAATTTTTCCCATCCCCAATGTTACTACTGGCTTATTGAAGTCAACTTTAATTTTTAGTGTTGAAACTGATATAAATATAGTTCCTGATTCACTGGATGGAAAAGGTATTAGTGTGAAAAATGCTGGGGTTAATAATGTTGAAATATATTCATTTCAACATGATGAAGTGAATGCAAATTTCTTGGTTGAAAGCTCGGGTTGATAGGTTGGTTCCATAAAAGTTTAAATTTGTAACTAAAAACATTAAAATTCTTTATTGAATAATTAATCTTCACGAACTTTACACAATATACGATGTAATACTTAAGTTTATATATTTAGTATTAATTTAGCATGTATTTGATAAAAATTTCAAAAATATATTGTAATATTTTCATATATACCATTTTTTTAAAATAAACAATTAGCCAATCCTTTTGTTTCCTGTACTCATCTCAGTGACTGGCCTGTAAAAAGAACAAATCTAATCGTAATAACCTGTTACGCATTTATTTGTAACAACTCAATTAGTACAACCAATAAAAAATTCGTGTAACCCAAACCATAACCCAAATTAACTATTGGCTAATCTGAGGTTGTTACATGTAACAGATTGTTACGAAAACATTAATTCTATTTCAATTATATTTTGATTAATATATTTGACGATTATTCTCGCATTGATCAACGACGAACGACGAGAAGTTTCATCAACAAATTATGATAAAATCTATGTCGGACGATAAAACATAACATTATTAAATAAACAAATTAGCCTATGAATTAGTTTATCTGAAGTTAAATCTGTTTTGCATGACATAAATTAATGAAGACTTTTAATTTTCTGAAGCATCAAATGGTACCAATGAAAGTAAAATAATTAAATAAAAAATAAATTTAAGAATTGAAAAATGAGAACATTAATGCTTGCCACCAGAGTTGTTAGTGCACATTTCTTGATCCAAAATCTCTTAAACTGAAATTTGAGTAACGTAAAATTCGATTCTGAACTCTAATAATGGACCCCAAATTAAAGTTTGGGGTCGAAAGTTCGACGTTACCTTTAATAAGCTGTACCACTCGATAGCGATGCAAAATTCCAAATAGTTGTACATTTGCATTTAATGATTTATACGACTTAACCTGGCTTGTATTTAAAAGTAAAATGGATAATAATAATCCTGCTTATCATAAGGAATCGATTAATTTAGACCCTTATGTCCTTGGATACAATTATCGATATGGAATTGGGGTTGAAAAGAATGAACGTAAGGCATTCACTTATTATCAAAAATCAGCAGATATAGGAAATACTAGTGGGATATTTGCACTTGGTAATTGTTATATTAATGGAATTGGAGTTGAAAAGGATGAACATAAGGCATTCATTTATTATCAAAAATCTGCAAAGATGGGGAATGCCAGTGGAATATATAATGCTGGATATTGCTATCAAAATGGAATTGGGGTTGAAAAGGATGAACATAAGGCATTCATTTATTATCAAAAGTCTGCAGAGTTGGGTGATGCTGATGGAATATTTGCACTTGGCAACTGTTATCTGGATGGAAATGGAGTGGAAAAGGATGAACATAAGGCATTCATTTATTATCAAAAATCTGCAAAGATGGGTCATGCTCTTGGAACAAATAACGTCGGATATTGTTATGAAGATGGAATTGGAGTTGAAAAGGATGAACATAAAGCATTCATTTATTATCAAAAATTTGCAGATATGGGAAATGCTAATGGAATATATAATCTTGGATATTGTTATGAAAAAGGGATTGGAGTTGAAAAAGACGAACATAAGGCGTTCATTTATTATCAAAAATCTGCAGAGATGGGTGCTGCTATAGGAACATATAAAGTTGGATATTGTTACCTTCATGGAATTGGAGTTGAAAAAGATGAACATAAAGCATTCATCTCTTGCCAAAAATCTGCAGAAATGGGATACGCTCCTGGAATACAGAATGTTGGATATTGTTATCGGAATGGAATCGGAGTAACAAGAGATTTACAAAAAGCTAATGAATGGTACCAGATGTAAGATATGTTATGCTGGCATGATAAAATTACATATTTCTTTTTAATAAATGTAATTAAAATACATTATTAGAGAACGGAAGCAAATATCAAGTAATTTACGATTATTGATTAAATTTATTTATATTTATTCGTTGAACAATTTGAATATGACTAATTCTAATTAACTTTCACTAGTAACAAATAGGCGAATATTTGATAATTTAGATATTGATAATAATTTAAAAGAAATATTAGTTGAAGGCAAATCTTTGTTATCTTGGATTCCTTATAATGAATTTGAAGATATTAAAGTTATAGGGAGAGGTGGGTTTGCGACAGTATATTATGCATTGTGGAGAGATAAAGACCGAGGTGGGGAACAGCCTGTTGCACTCAAATTGTTCTATAATTCAAAAAAGTATAATGAGGAATTTGTGAAAGAGGTAATTTCATTTATGTGATAATTTGCTTAAAATTTTAATAAATTATATTTAACCACTTTAATTTAAAAGTTAAAAGCATATTGTGATATTGGCAATAAAAATCCAACGTTTTTAAGGTGCTATGGGATTTCAAAAGACAATGTTTCTAAAAATTATATCCTTGTGATGCAACTCGCACCTGAAGGTTCTTTACATAGCAATCTTCATTCTATAGCACAATTGGAATGGATAAAAAAGTTAACATTATTGCATTGTATTGCTTCTGATCTTCAATTAATTCATTCCCAAGAACTTATTCATCGAGATTTGCATAGTGGTAACATTTTACAAGATGATTTGCATAATGCATACATAGCAGACTTGGGTCTTTCAATTCAGTATTTGAAACAAAAAGATAGTCAGATTTGTGGTGTTTTACCTTATATTGATCCAGAAGTTTTAAATGGAGGTCAGTATACTACATCGTCTGATGTTTATTCATTTGGAATAGTTATGTGGGAAATCTTGTATGGAAAGTCTGTTTCATATAATATTAACTTAAAAAAAATCGAGCTTCAAATGAAAATATGTTGGGAAAATTTACGACCATCCGTTAACAAAGAAGCACCACAATGTTATGTGGAACTGATGAAACAATGTTGGGACAAGGAACCAAAAAATAGACCTAGGGCAGAAGAACTCTGCGAGATTATAAGCGGATGGCAAAATAATGAAAAAACTCTGTTAGAATTGAATGATTCTAAAACAGTACTTGAAGATTTAGAAAAATCATATGTAGACATTCATGGTGGTGCGAGTAAAGTTATTCCTTGTACGAATTCAATTTTGAACGTAGATAGTGAATTGTCAAATTTAGAAATTAAATAATTTTATTTGTTTTTTTTACGTTATTAATGTTTTATGTTTAAGAAAAATAAGACTATCGATTTAGGCAATTTATTCCGAAATTTATCTTGAATAAAAAATATTTTCATTGCGAAAATCATTTGGTCTAATACAGTAATATAAAATCTCAACCGCCATAATTTAGACAATAAATAAAGAAGCTTTTAACATCTGAATTATATTTAGTAAAAAATTCAGATAATACAAGATTTGTATAAGCATAAAATTCGATGGCTCAAAATCCTAATAGTTCAAAACCCAGGCTTGCATAATATCTTGAAAATCAAAATCGTGATAGTGTCACAAATTTCTAAATTTGTAACAGTGGAATCGATTTTCTTTACTTTCCTTTTTTATATAATAGACGTTCCTAAAACAGTATTATATTCTATTTTTATATTTACTAATTAAATACCGGATAAAACTTGTAACTACCCTAGTGATAGCATATGATCGTCTACTTTTCATGAATATTGTATAGCACGATAACGTGTTAGCACGTATGCGTGTGAATAAGGGATAACCTTTTCTAGTGTCAAGGGTTCGTGATCACACGTCAGCGTGCTTGGCTTAGAATTATTAGCACCCCAGCATGCTAAATAGCATGCAAGGGTGGTAGGTAACGCGTTAACGTGTAGGATAGTAAATAAAAATGTATATAAATAAAACTTCAAGTAAATAATGAAAGCTTCGGATTTATCCTAAAAAACAATAAAATAATAAAAAAAAGAAAAGAAACAAGCTTGATTAGTGTAAAACACCCTCACCATTGAAATTCGAACAACCTATTCCCACTTATCTAAAATAGCCGCTTATTAGTGTGCCCTTGTCCACGTGACTGGTCGTTTTCAATTCGTAAAAACTTCCTGTTCATCTATACTAACACTCTGTGACCTCTACTTGAACCTCCTCTATTACTGTATTCGTGCCCAGTACACTTTATATTACCTTTATATCAGTAACTATTAGAGTATAAATCGGCTTAATTCCTATTCTCCCGAATAAATAGTTACATTTGGTGCCGATTGTGTGGAATTGATCCCTTGCCCTATACCATTATACCATAATACATTAAATGGCTAATCAAGCACAGCCCGCCCTATTAATAAATTTGGCAAATCAAATTGTTCAACTGATACAACAATTGCAAGCAGCGCCTGCCCCCCAGGTTAATGTTGCCCCTATTCAGCCTGAGTTAAAGCAAGTAGAGTATCCCGAGTTTGCAGGAGAAGATCAAGATCCTATTTCCTGGATGGAGGAAGTCGAGATTGCCTTTGAAGCTAACCAAGTACAATATGGACGAAAAATCCCTATTATTGTACCATACTTGAAAGGGCCGGCAGCTACATGGTGGATGATTCATTGTAACCAAGCTCCCGTAATTGACCGATGGGATGATAATACACAACCCCAAAATAGTTTCAAGCTGACTTTTATTCATCAGTTTCGTACACCTGCCTTAGAGAGTAAATGGTTCTCAGACTTGACCCAGAGAAAGCAAAGATATGACGAATCAGTTGACTCCTATTACATCTCCATTGAGCAATTAATACGAAGAGTAGAGGCAGAAGAGTTACAATACCCAGATACTGCCAAAGCTCAAATGTTCATGAATGGTTTACAGCCCGAATTATTTGCAGCAGTGTTCCCTTTTCTTTTCAATACACTTCAGGCAGCTTTTGAGAGAGCAAAAGCCTTTGAAAGTGCCCTTCGTAAGATGTCTAACCTACCTGTCCTTCCTATGTATCCTCAACAGGGTAATGGGTACCCCCATTCTACGTATTCGCAAACCTCACCGGTCTCACTGGCTTTGACTTCTAGGCCAGGATCTAAGGCTGTGATTGAAAAACTAGTGGAAGCTGTGAACAAAATGACTATGCAACTGCAGGATAGGAAAAGACCCTCCTGGGAGTATTCTAAAGATTACCTAGCTAAGGTTGTTTGTTATAAATGTGGTAAACCAGGACATATTAGTCGAATGTGTCAAGAAAACTCAAGTACCACCAAACACCTCGATGGGGGTTCTGATACCAGTGTAACAGTCAATAAAGAGGTTCTCCAGGCTCTTCTTTCTTTAACGGACAGTAAGAAGCAAGAGGAACCATGTAACTTAACGACCTTCCTAAATTTGCGAGAAGAAGGCTGGCCACTGTTTATGCCCGTGGAAAGATGTAAGCGAAAAAAACCTTTTGTGAACACGCCCTTTAAGAAACCCCAAAAGGATTCTGCTGAACTCAATGAGGCTGAAATGAATGAAGACCCGATTCAGGAGGAGGTGTCGATGGACAAAGCCCCATTAGAGGAATTGCTAGAAGAAGAAAGTAAGGAAACTTTTAAGGAACCTGAAACTTTAATATAGAAGGAAACCCTTAAAGAAAAACTTGTGCTTAAAGAAAAGTTTAAGGATAAAAATAACTTGAAATGACGACCCATTCTTCGTCGAAATATTATCAAAGATGAACTACCCCAAATTGCAGCTCTTGTGCCCCCTTATAATATTGTAGCAGATGCTAGAGACAAACCAGCCAATATTACTGTGAGCCAGCTTATTCGCATTGCCCCTTCATTGCGGGCTGAATTGAATAGAAGTTTGAAACGGAAAAAGGTTATGCCTAAAAGAAAGTTAAAAAACAATATTAATATTATACCAGAAATCAGGTCAATGGCTCTATATTGTGATGCCAAGGTATTAGATAAAGTTTTCCCTCTTATTGTGGACAGTGGATCTTCTGGAAGTGTCATCTCCTCTCATTTCTTGAGGGAGTTAGGTATAAAAATTGAAAGGCCCTCTACGGTTAATATGATAAATGTGCATGAGGAAAGTAAACGAGTGTTAGGAGAAATTACATCTTTTTCTTTTGAAGTAGGAGGTGTTAAGATTCTCGTTGATGTCATTGTAACTGATGCTTTGTCTTATCAAGCTATAGTAGGTAATGACTGGTTATCTAAGATCAAGGCTCAAATCGATTGGACCCTGCAGAAATGTTGTTTAAATGGGAGGACAAAGAAATAGTCATTCCTGTCGAGTTTTGTCAAGTCAACTGTGAACCTTTGGAAAGAAATAGACCTACAAAGATTAGAGAACTGTATGAAGAAGACAAAGATGAAAATATGTCAGTCGAGACCCTTACTGATGAAGAAGATAAGTTCGACAATAAAGATCTTGAGACTCAGATTTATGGTATTTCAAATTTTGATGATTTTTCTCAACCAATTCCTCTACCCAAGATACAGGACCTTGAGTTATATGAAGAGCCATTGATGAGTTGGGACTCAGAGGATGATGGCTGGTTTGGTGACGAGAACTCATCTATTTCTTCTTCTGGTACCGAATTGGTATCGCTTGACTCTGATGGAGAAACTGATAATAGTAGTGTTGAAGTAATAAGCAGCTCTCTTCCTCCACCTTTCTCTGATAACGTGAGTGATCATTTTAGTCAAAAACCTTCTGAAACCCTCCCAGCTTTAGAAAGCCCTTGTTACGCCCTGGTATTGTCAACCGATGAGTTGATAGCAAAAAGTTATGAACCCATTACTGATCTACTCGACTTTTATTATGACGGAAAAATGCAGAGGTTTTATATCAGGTGGGCACACAACCTCAAAATTTTAAAGACCAATTTGAAAACTTTTTACAACAGCACCAATCTAGTTTTGTATGGAAATCTAAAGAATTGGGTCGCACTAAGGCAGTACAGCATAAGATAACCACAGGTGATGCTCCTTCTGTTAAATTAAGGCCTTATCGTCATACTCCAAAAGAATGAGAATTCATGAAGAATGAAATCAGTCGTATGTTAAGAGAGGGAATTATTCGAGTTTCAGAAAGTTCGTGGGTGTCTCTGGTTGTTTTAGTCAAAAGGGAAGATAAAATTAGATTTTGCGTAGATTATCAGAAATTAAATTCTGTTACGAGTAAGAATAGTTATCTGCTCCTTCGTATTCAGGATTTATTAGACTCCTTGTGAGGTGCTTGTTATTTCAGCTCTTTAGACCTTGCCAGTGGTTACTAGCAAGTGGAGATGGAACCATGTGACCGATCTAAGACTGCCTTCACTACACCATTCGGGTTGTTTGAATTCAACGTAATGCCCTTTGGCCTTACAAATGCACTAGCCACATTTCAGCATTTGATGGATACCCTGTTCTGCGACATCATCGATAAATTTGTTATTATTTTCATTGATGATATTGTTGTTTACTCCAAAACTATTCAAAAGCATCTTGATCATATCAAGGAAGTCCTAGGTAGACTACAATTGGCCAGTTTAAGATTAAAACCAACGAAATGTTTATTTTTTCAGCAAGAAATCAAAGTATTAGGTCACATTGTCAGTCATAACGGTATAGGAACTGATCCTAAAAAAATAGCACTGTTGAGAATTTTCCCATTCCACGAACTTTACGACAGTTGCGTGGATTTCTCGGATTAGCATCTTATTATCGAAAATTCATCCCTGGTTTTACCCGTATCGCAGCTCCTTTGAACAATTTATTAAAAAAGGTAATTTCTTATAAATGGACTTCACGGGAACAAGGAGCCTTCGAATTACTAAAACTGAAATTAACTCAGGCTCCTCTTTTGGCCTATCCAAATTTTGATCATCCTATTATCTTATTCACTGATGCTTTCGATATCGCATTAGGTGCCATATTATCTCAAGAAGATAATGAAGGTCGTGAACGAGTAATTTCTTATGCCAGTCGAGGACTTTCAACAGCCGAAAGAAATTATACAACAACAGAGAAGAAGTGTCTTGCAGCTGTTTGGGCTGTTGGGTACTTCAGACAATATCTACATGGTATCTTCTTCACCTTGGTAACGGACCATATGGCCTTAAAATTCTTATTGTCTCTGAATAAGCCTCATGGCCGATTAGCGAGATGGGTCCAGAATATGACTTTGAGTTTATTTACAAATCAGGAAAAAATCACAGTAACGCAGATAGTTTATCTAGAATCCTATGAAACCTTTATTGTTAGTATAACTTATTCCAAAGGAAAAAAAAAAAAAAAAAAAAAAATCTGTTAATCCAGTCCAGGTTATGGTGTCCTGGCATTCCTATTGTTTTAATTTGCTACATAATAATAATAATCTATAGAGTTATTAGTTGTTCAAGTTGTCACAATCATTATGGATTTTGAAACTTACTATTTATTCGTAAGGTATCTCAGTAACGCCATGGTACCCGCAAATTATGATGGCAAACAAATAAGAGACCTTAAATATAGAACCCGACATTTCTTTGTTCAGGATGGTCTTTTATTCAAGAAAAGTTTGCATGATCCCTCGTGCCCAGTATGAGTGTTAAAAACTAATGAAGTAGATGCTATTTTATTTAGTATGCATGATGACCCATTATCAGGGCATTTTAATTTTCAGTCAACTTATCAGCGAATCTCAGTTCGATACTTCTGGCCTCAAATGGGTAAGGATATTAAACAATATATTCGAACATGTGATGTCTATCAACGAAAATCTAAGTCCAAAACTGAGAGCCTCTGCATCCCATCGCTATAGGAAAACCCTTCGATAAAGTTGGAATTGACATTGTTGGCCCCCTTCCTACAACTTTGAAAGGAAATAAGTATATCGTCATTGCAACTGAGTACCTTACTAAGTGGCCTGAGGCCAAAGCTCTAAGCAGAGCTGACGCCGAATCAGTCACACATTTTATTTTTGAGGATATAATTTGCAGACATGGTGCTCCTAAAACTCTTTTATCTGATCAGGGCTCCCATTTTTGTAATAAGTTGATAAATGCGCTTTGTACCCGACTAAGCGTTCGTCATCATACATCTACCCCTTATCATCTGCAGACCAACGGATTAGTTGAAAGTTTTAATAAAACCTTATGCAACATTTTATGTAAATGCGTAAACCAATTCAGTGAAGAATGAGATAATTTAATTGCGCCAGTGCTCTTTGCTTATAGAACTAACAAACACCATACTATCCAACACGAGCCTTTTTATTTGATCTATTGGAGAGATGCTCTAACCCCTGTGGAAGTTCCTATGGGCACTTCCAAAAACAAGCCCGCTACAGAAGAAGCTTTACAACAACAAATAATGAGACGAATCGAGACCTTATTAGAAACCTTAACAGAATCCCGCCTAGTAGCTAAAGAAAAGATAAGACAGGCTCAAGACCGCCAAAAATTGTATCATGATAGTAAATATAAATTAGAGTTTTATAAAATTAGAGATCAAGTATTACTCCAACGATCCGAAATCCAATATTCTAAAAGTGCTAAACTAGAAGTTCAATGCACCAGTCCTTATTACATTCATGATGTCCTGGGTAATGGAACTTATAAGTTAAGAACGGTCACCAGGAGAGAAGTCCTTAAAAAGGTAGTTCATGGAAACCGATTAAAATTATATCATTCTCGCTTATGTGATCAACCTGTTTTATTCCAATATGGAAACTAAAATTTGAATAAAAATAACCAACGAAAAGACCAAGTCCCTCACATTGTCATGAATTCTAACGCTTTACCAGAAAATATAAAAAAGACTCTTGCTCTTTTACAAAAGCAATTAAGGACGGCTCAGACTCTGGGAAGTATAGTTATTAGTCAGCACCGTATTGAATATGGAATTGGAATTGAAAAAGATGAACTAGATATTTCTATAGTTCTTTCCTTAAGCGATGCTCAAAAGATTCGATCAAAATTACCTTTGTATATTAATGATTTACAATGAAATGAAGTTTCTTTTTGGGTTCTCCCCGATGTTGAAAGTAATGACTGGCCAGACCATGTTAAATATTTATGTGAACAGATATTCTCTTCTTCTGACCCCATAACCCGATTAGGATATCATTATTATCTTGGGATCACATTAGAAACCCACACATGGAAAGAGACAGCCCGAAAGGAAGTCTGCAAACATTTTAGCTCTCGAAAGTATCTCGAAGTCTGGAAGATCACCTACCGAACTTATCAACTTTATATTATACGGGGTCTAGATAACCTCCTGTCATCCCAGTACATTACCCCGTTTGCCTTATTTTGTATGTATGATAAGGATTTTTCGACGTTACTTGAGGAAGCTAAATCTATAAGGGACTTAGAAATTGATACTTTGCTTAATTCAGCCCATGAATTATTGAAGGTCCAAATACAGGAAGCGGAGTATGTCACAAATTTCTAAATTTGTGACAGTGGAATTGATTTTCTTTACTTTCTTTTTTTATATAATAGACATTCCTAAAACAGTATTATATTCTATTTTTATATATACTAATTAAATACTGAATAAAACTTGTAACTACCCTAGTGATAGCATATGATCGTCTACTTTTCATGAATATTGTATAGCACGATAATGTGTTAGCACGTATGCGTGTGAATAAGGGATAACCTTTTCTAGTGTCAAGGGTTTGTGATTACACGTCAGCGTGCTGGGCTTAGAATTATTAGCACCCCAGCATGCTAAATAGCATGCAAGGGTGGTAGGTAACACGTTAATGTGTAGGATAGTAAATAAAAATGTATATAAACGAAACTTTAAGTAAATAAAAAAAGCTTCAGATTTATCCTAAAAAACAATAAAATAATAGAAAAAAGAAAAGAAACAAGCTTGATTAGTGTAAAACACCCTCACCGTTGAAATTCGAACGACCTATTCCCACTTATCTAAAATAGCTGCTTATTAGTGTGCCCTTGTCCACATGACCAGTCATTTTCAATTCGTAAAACTTCCTGTTCATCTATACTCACACTCCGTGACCTCTACTTGAACCTTCTCTATCACTGTATTCGCGCCCAGTACCCTTTATATTACCTTTATACCAGTAACTATTAGAGTATAACTCGGCTTAATTTCTATTCTCCTGAATAAATAGTTACAATAGCATGATGTATTAAATCCTTAAAGAATGAATCCTAAAGGTATACTGTTTGTCACTGCCTACAGCTAGGGAACCTGGCATGCTTAAATTTATTTGGCATGCCACTACAAATCAATGTTTGACCAAATTTGTATAAAATACGTTTTGGCTATAATTTATTATAGTGAATGTATTGAATGTATAGACCTTACATACATATGTATGTACTGCTATTTTTACTTCAAATTCTATACAATCTAGTACCAAGGCTCTAATCGCTTATTGGATTACTATAAGCAATGTACCGTATCATATCATTTTGACATTTTGCATAATACAGTACTAAATTACTTTTATATACTATGCATATTCGTACTGTATCGTATCATTTCAAAATTCTGTACAATACAGCACTAAATTATCTTCAGTACAGTACACCATATATATATATTCATTATGTAATGCTTTTAACGCACGTTACGTACAGTACATTGCTACGATCTAGGTCTTATACAGCTCTCTGTATTTTATTTATCGAACTCAAGTCATATTTGTAAAAGAAATTGGCCTTGGAAGTTAAATTCATATCCATCTGTAGATTACTAATTAAAATAATTTATTGGTAAATATTTTTTAAAAAATATCATTCAATACCTATCTTATCATAAATTGCAAGAGTTTTATGTACTTTTTTCATTTGGTTATTTTGCAAAACCAGGGACAAAAAAAAAATGATTTGAAATGATAAACTCACATAATAGTTTCTTAATAATAATAACATAATAATTATGTTACAAACTTTAATAAACTAAGATGTTTATTTGAATATTCACTAAGTAAATTTATTAACTGACACTTTTTGACACATTGATTAAGATACTTGTGAACGTTCTAAGTGTCTGTTGTTTTTTTAAAAAAAAGTTTGAGGTAAATATTTTTAACGAAAACCAATTTTCAAAATAGAAACCTATTTTTTAGAAATTTATAGATTATTTAACTACATGGCATTCTAAACCCCAGGTCTATATTAGCCTAAAAATTCTAATATTTGTACAGTTTACATCATTACTGTTTTTACATCTTTTTATATAGTTTAAATTTTAATGATGGTCTCATGCTAAAAAAAAAAAAGGATGTAAGAAAAAAATTTTAAATGAAAAGAAGATAGTTTTCCTTCATTGAGCTAATTTGGAATAAATATCACATTTACTATTTTCTTTTATTTCTTTTTTTTGTAGAATTTATTACTGAGCTGACAAGGTCAAATCAAAAAAATTTGTTAACCATTTCTAATTTTTTTAAATTATCTGATTGCATTTAATATGATAGGTTAATCTTTCATATAACATTATACATAAATGTGTGGCTGAGTTGATTTTTTTTATCATAAGAGTACAAAAAAAGCAATTCACATTTTTTTTAAATACCTTTATATTTAATTAAAGTTAAATACAATTTAGATAATGCATCAATAACTTAATCACCAATCTATAACTGTTATATTTTGGGTTTGTTTATACGAAAAACATTGGCACACTTGTGAGGCGTATAGGGTTACACTGGCTGGGATAAGAGCCAGGAATAAATTTTTTATTATATTTGATAATTATGTATGCAAAATAGACAGTATAGAGAATAATAATAGGAACTGAAACATTGATTTCCCGAAGGGTTAGCAATAGTAATTGTGCTAGAGATCGCAGTAACAGCCAAGGTAGTGATTAAATAAACACTATTTGCTTAATTATTCAGTCGATGGTTTCCCACCTGCTGCAGCAAGCCAGCTGTTACAGCTGTTTTCAAAAGGGCATTAACAACGATTCCCATATGCCTGTGTCAGAATAGGGAAATTCTGATTAGTAAAAATTGAATGTCCAATTAGCACTAGCTTTGAAAATTCCAGAAATCTGGAAAATTTCGTGAATTTCCCGAGATATGGTGATCTGCGTCTGTTCACACCTTTTTGAAAACAGCTATAGAATGGCAGAATCAGGAGCTCATTCCTCACGTAGAGGGTTTGGGTGGGGCGAGAAAATTTCTGAAGTTTGCAGGGTAAAGATCGATGGAGCTGGAATTTTGGTATTTATAGCATAAGTTTAGGTGGCTTGTTCATGTGCCATGTCGAAGTAGTGGCAGTTCATGTAGCCTGTGAGGGGAGCATGTGATTCTGTGTATGGTCACCCATCATTTAGCCTGGTTTTTTGAATTGTTGACTAACAGTTAACTCATATTAAAGTGACCAAATTCCAAACTCTGGCAAAATTATATCTCAAAAACTTTATTAATAATTTTTATTTAAACGATAATATATATTCTCATAATTATCTATATCTATATATGGGGATGCCCACAGCAAAACAAGGCTTCAGGACTATATATTATATAGTCTCTAAGCCTTGTTTTGCTATGCACATCCCCATATATCATCTAATTCAGAGTTTGTCCATTTAAATGTTTCTGATTGGTCATTGTCAGACAACGTGAACTGAGTGTGAGAAAAGATTTCCCCAGCGTAACCACCAAAAATCACAGCCACGTGATAATAATAAAAATTCCTAATTCAGTAAGATTAGGTTTAGCATTATATTATGATTAGGTAATAGTAAGAGTATATTAGTAAAATTGCTCAAGGAATTTTTGTTATTAGTACACTAAAGGTGGTTTCTATGTAAATTTTCGAGTTATGTGCAATTTTTAGTAAACCGAACATTTGTTTTAATTTTTCCTGATCATGCAATGTTACACCTAATCTTGTATTCTCATTGGTTTGCACCACGAAAATATCATGTTTCCATGATTTTTTTGATGGTGATACTGGGATAGTTGTGAGAAAATATTAAAAACCATCAGTTAATTACATTCATATTCAATATTTATAGTAATAGTACTAACTTTATAAGAATTATGATCATTGCCAATTTATCAAAACTGTAATTGTGGTGAAACATGATGTAAATTTTGTTATTATGATGAAAATATGTTGTACATTTTATCATTATCATTATTAAGCAAGGGTAATCAAATACAGGTTATTTATTCTGGAGATTTTTTGTTTCACACATTTTGCAGTTTTTTTTTAAAGGGTTTTTGACAACTATTTTCATCCAGGAATTTAATAATCTATAATTATTTGATCATTTAATGAATCACCAGGGTAAGTCTGAGGTTTAATTCTGTTCACTTTAATGATCATATTTTGAAAGGATGCATGTATGATTAACTGTGATCATTTGAACATTTAACAAATTATCAGGGTGAGTCTAAGGTTTAATTCTGCTTGCTTTAATGATTGTGTTTCGAAAGAATGCATATATAATTAACTGTGATCATTTGATTGTTCAACAAATTGCCAAAGTGAATCTGAGGTTTAATTCTATTCACTTTAATGATTGTGTTTCAAAATGATACATGTATGATTAACTGATTATTTAATTATTCAACAAGGGTGAGTCTGGGGTTTAATTCTGTTCACTTTAATAATCGGATGCATGTATAATTAACTATAATTATTTGATCATTCAACAAATCATCAGGATGAGTCTGAGATTTAATTCTGTTTGTTTTAATGATTGTTTTGAAAGGATACATATATGATTAACCATGATCATTTGATCATTCAACAAATTGTCAGGATGAGTCTGAAGTTTAATTCTGTTCGCTTTAACTATCATGTTTTGAAAGGATATATATATACTTAACCATGATCATTTGATCATTCGACAAATTGCCAGTAAGTATGAGATTTAATTCTGTTCATTTTAATGATTATGTTTGAAAGAATGCATGTATAATTAGCCCTAATCATTTGATCATTCAACAAATTACCAAAGTGAGTCTAAAGTTAATTCTGTTCATTTTAATATATATTTTTTGGAGAATATATGATTAAATATAAATACTTAACTTTTAATAAATATGAAGTTTAATTCTGTTTACTTTAATGATTGTTTTTTAACTGAATAAGTATAGATAGCAGTATATTTTTACAGTAAATCTTTTCTTATTTTTAATCACTCAAACTAGTTATCTTTTTTTATTACATAATATAGACATATCAAAAAGCTATTTAGTTTATATTACACTATATTTTATTAGTTTTAAATTAAAATTTTTGGTAAGATATAATTAATATTTTAATAGTTATTAGTATTACTATATTAATTCAGTCTCATAAATATATCAATTTACCTTATTAAATCTCACAAACACAATCCAAATATAATAAAAAATTTTTTGAGACATACTCTAGCTTTAGATCTGATCAGTGCAATGCAAGACACTGTTATAATGCTCAAGATCAGATAAAGATAATATAAATTTTTTTGATAAAATATCAAAAAAGATGTGTAGCAAACTACAATTCAATAAATAAAATATTCAATATCTACTCCTATAACAAGATCTTTACAGTGGTAATTATGATAATTTATAATTCAAACTAATTAAACATAAATTACATATAGTACTGTGGTTACCAAAGTATTTAGTACTTTAAATATTCAAAACAAAGTCGATTTTCTGAACAAAAAATCAGATAATTTCTGAATTTCTGAATAAGATAGGTGGTGCAAATGTGCCACCCATCACACTAGTATATAGTATGTGTTCAAAATATCATGATTTTTTTTTGGTTTAATGGAAAGCTCATTACGAAGTAACAGAGCATCATTATTGCAAGATCAGATGACTTATTGCAGATCGCATTTGTATTTGTGCCTTTTATTGTTAGTCTAGTGTTTTTTGTAAAGATTCTTGTTAATGCAGTTTGTTCAAGATCATTATGATAATTTAGCGAATTTAGGGTTATATGAATATTGGTAAATAGAAAGGTGTTAATAGGACTAAGGGTATTAAGAAGAAGGTTTGAGCATGTGAAAATTAAGGGTGCTTATAAGGGTAGTTGTTCAAAAGAAAGAGGTATATCTTTCGTTTCACTATCGTTCACCTTGAGGCTGGCTCTATCACCCACCCACCCACCTTTTTTCTAAGAGGACAAGTGAATACAAGGGTGTAATGACTATCTAAGTGGACCATATAATTTGATTGTAAGGATTAAGGCTCCATGGCTGCAGTGGCAGTTTAAGGACCTTAGCAGTAAGTTTTAGGACTCCACAGCTGCAGGGGCAGTGCAAGGACCTTAGTGGTAAGTTTAGGGGCTCCACAGCTGCAGTGGCAGTGCAAGGACCCTTAGAACCAGTTGTTTGGGCTTTATGATCACATGATCACTGCAAGGGCCCTTATTAGTGAATAGTCAAGCTCTACAGCTGTGGTAGCAGTGCAAGGACCTGTTGTTTTATGATGCCACAGTTGCAGTGGCAGCACAAGGATCTTACAGAGTTTAATGGTTCTTCACAAGTTAGATATGGCAGGTGACATTTCAATTCTCTTTTAGCTATATGAACATCTATTGTCCCCTTGTCTACTTTGATTTTGTATAATAGAAATGTGAGTGTGGGGTTCTGAAGTTTTAGGGAATTTGAAAACTGAAAGGTCAACAGATTGTGATCTGCTATGTTGGGGATGCTGGTTTTAGTTTTAGATAATTGTCATATAGTTCTAAAGGAGTTATTTATTTGTATGTATTGAAGTGCAAACATATAGCTAAAGCTAGCTCGGATAGTGAACCTATTCTCATATGAGGGGTGCCAGTAGAAACCAAGCAATTCATTTTTAATGTGTTTTTTTAAAATTTTAAATTAAAATATCTCAACAACTATTAAATCAAACTTGGTAAATTTTTTTTATTTTGATACTATAACTATATAGAATTAAAATAAAAAAAAATTTATCAAGTTTGGTTTAATAATTGTTGAGATATTTGCTTTAAAGTTTTAAAAAAATTTACTTAGAAATAAATTGCTTGGTTTCTACTGGCACCCCCTCATATGTTTTTTCATTATATAGCAATAAAGTATATGATCGAGCAATAATAATTTTTATAAATGAGTGTTGCAGAGCGAAAAGCTGGAAGTGGATATTTAAGTTCTCATCATGGCGAATTTAGCCCCTGAAGAACTTCGATATTACGTACTGATAAACAATGTTTTGATAGTTCAGTAAGAATAACAATATATTCGTACGAAATTTTACTAAACGACTAGGACAATGATTATATACATGATTAGCCATTATGAAAACTTAAATATTCACTTCCAGCTTTTCGCTCTGCAGCACTCAAATGGTGTTATGAATTTTCCTATTATACTTATCATGGAATACATTATTGGTATTCACTAGTGTAAGTTGTTCGCGAGTTAGAACCTAAGAACTGGGTTTGAAATCCCTAACGATTGTTTGAGACCCAAGATCTAAATTTAAAACTTCAAATAAAAGTATGAGGTACATGATTTGGATTTTAAACTTTGGATGTTAAAATGTATAAATATAACACCCAGACAAATAACATTCCTTTATCCTCCAACTAAATTAATTTCCTTATGCTACTTCCAAACTTTTCATGCATAAACCTTGTATCCTAATATTTGATGTAACAATTAAAATTGGTTTTTATTTTTTTGGATTTGAGTTTGTCCAAGGTTTGCTAGCAAGTATACCACAGTTTATAAAAGTTAAAAATATTAAACCTAATAAATAGTATGAAAGAAAATTCTATATAAAAATACATTTTAAAAAACTATGGATTAACTTATTTATCGTAAATCTTTCAAAAAAAAATTATCAGTACTTTTCAGTAATCTCAACTAGATCAATCAATTTACTTATAGGTATTTTCGCGCTGCCAGAAATTTCACTATCCATTGGATCGCTAATTTTTGAAATCTTTTTAGTGATCTCTTCTACATCGATACATTTACTTGTATACATATGCTTTGAATGTTTTTGAGATTCAGGATTTGGCTCCACGCTATCTGCTTCTAAGAATTGTTTTTTGGTTATATTTTCGTTGCTTTCACTCACAAGGTCTTCAAACCAAGCGGTTACAATTGCATTTATATATCTAGCAGTAGGCCTTTCTTTCAGATTTGAATGCATGCATCGTTTAGCCAATTCGACGTAGCACTCTGGTGCACCCAAAGCAATCTTAGGTCGTTCACCTTGAATTACCCTTAATGATAATGCAGCATCAAATAATTCACCGTCGAAAGCCCTCTGTCCAGTCAATATTTCCGTCATGATGACACCAAAACTGTAAATATCAGCAGACCATGTAAATTCTTGACCTAATAAAACCTCTGGAGCAACATAAGGCAAAACACCAACGACAGTTTTGTCTTTGCTTTTTTCGGATGACGTGAGGCCCAGATCCGCAATATACGCATTATTAACATCATTTTGCAAAACGTTTCCACTATGTAAATCTTTATGAATATAGCCTTGAGAATGAATCGCTTCAAGATCAGAAGTTATACAACTTAATAGGTTTAATTTTTCCTCCCACTTCATCAACGACACTTCATAAAGATTATCGCATAATGAACCCTTTTCTGCATATTGCAAAACAAGAATATAATTTTTTGAATCGTCTCTTGATAATCCATAACATTTTAAGATCGATGGATATTTATAGCTGATCTCACAAAATGCTTTTAACTTAAAAAAATATATTATAAATTTTAATATTAAATAATATTAACTCAAGAAAAATATATATATATTGGATCATTTTTAATGGTGTTACCTCGTCGAAAAAGTCTTGATCATGAATTTTTTTAATTGCAAATGAATGTTTATCGGAACTATTCTTGTAATGAATTCGACATTTAGCATAATAAACAGTTGAAAATCCTCCCTTCCCAATCTCTCTAATATCTTCAAATTTATTATACGGGATCCATAATAATTGATACCTCTCGTCATCCAATATTATTTTAACATTGTCATCAATATCAAAATATGAAAATTTTATTATATCTATTTTATTATTATTAAAAAATTGATAAATATCTAATTCGACAAATAAATTAAAATGAAAAAAATACCTTGAAATTTATTTCTCTCCCTATAATTATATAATTATTAAATATATACAAATATAGTATATTTACTTATATATTTATTTTAAAAAGACTTACATTCGAAACCAATAATCAGCCTCTTTTAGATCCTTTTTTGTTCCAATACCATTTCGATAGCAATTTCCAACATTTTTTATTCCACTAATACTACCTAATTTAGCTGATTTTAAATATAATTCAAAAGCTTTTTCCAGATCTTTTTTTGTTCCAATTCCATTATGATAACAATATCCAAGGTTAAATATCGATGTAATATTCTCCATTTTTGCAGCTTTTTGATAATAAAGAAATGCCATATTTCCATCCTTTTTAACACCTTCTCCTAATCGATAACGTTCTCCAACATTATTCATTCCATTGGCGTCCCCCATCTCTGCAGATTTTTGATAATAAATGAATGCCTTATGTTTATCCTTTTCAACTCCAATTCCATGATTATAAAAGCATCCAACATTAAATGTTCCAATAGCATTCCCCATTTCTGCAGATTTTTGAAAATAAATGAATGCTTTATGTTCATCCTTTTCAACCCCAATCCCATTTCGATAGCAACATCCAACGTTATATGTTCCATTAGCATGGCCCATCTCTGCAGATTTTTGATAATAAATGAATGCCTTATGTTTATCCTTTTCAACTCCAATTCCATGATTATAACAACATCCAACATTAAATGTTCCAATAGCATTCCCCATCTCTGCAGATTTTTGATAATAAATGAATGCCTTATGTTCATCCTTTTCAACTCCAATTCCATTTCGATAACAATATCCAACATTACATGTTCCGTCGGCGTTTCCCATCTCTGCAGCTTTTTGATAATAAATGAATGCCTTATGTTCATCCTTTTCAACTCCAATTCCATTTCGATAACAATATCCAATGCTACATGTCCCATCAGAATCACCTATCTCCGCAGATTTTTGATAATAAATGAATGCCTTACATTCATTCTTTTCAACCCCAATTCCATATCGATAATTGTTTCCAAGGACATAAGGGGCTAAATTAGTCGATTCCTTATGATGAACAGGATTATTATTACCCATTTTACTTTTAAATACGAGTCAGGTTAAGTCGTTTAAATTATTAAATACAAGTGTACCACTATTTAGAATTTGCATCACTATCAAGTGGTACAGCTTATTATAGGTAACGTCTTATTTTCGACTCTAAACTTTAATTTGAGGTGCATCATTAGAGTACAGAATCTGGTTTTACGTTACCCAAATTTCATTTTTTTTTATAGATTTCGGACCAATAAATGTGCACTAACAATTGCTTATTTAAACCTTTTGTACTGCAATTTTTACTATGCCACTAAAACATACCTAATATATATGTTAATCAAAAGGTTACCTATATTCTTATTTTTTACATAGTCATCAATATCAAAGTATGAAAAATTTTTTATATCTATTTTATTATTATTAAAAAAATTTATAAATATATAAATAGACAAAAATAAATTGAAATGAAAAAAATACCTTTAAATTTATTTCTCTCACTATAATCATATAATTATTAAATATAATTAAATATATACAAGTATAGTATATTTACTTATACATTTATTTAAAGAAAGACTTACACTCGAAACCAATAATCAGCCTCTTTTAAATCCTTACTTGTTCCAATACCATTTCGATAGCAATATCCAAGATTTTTTATTCCATCAATATGATACAATTTCGCAGTTTTCAAATATAATTTGAAAGCTTTTTTCAAATCTTTTTTAGTTCCAATTCTATTATGATAACAATATCCGAGGTTATATATTGATGTGATATTTCCCATTTTGCAGCTTTTTGATAATAAAAAAATGCCATATTTTCATTCTTTTTAACACCTTCTCCTAATCGATAACGTTCTCCAACATTATTGTTTCCACAAGTGTTCCCCATCTCTGCAGATTTTTGATAATAAATAAAATGCCTTATGTTCATCTTTTTCAACTCCAATTCCATGAATGAAACAATGTCCAACTCCAATATTCTACTAGTATCTTCTATATCAGCAGATTTTTGATAATAAATAAATGCGTTATGTATTTTGATAACAATATCCAAAATTATTTATTCCATCAACATCACCCATCTCTGCGGATTTTTGATAATAAATGAACGCCTTACGCTCATCTTTTTCAACTCCAATACCATTTTGATAACAATATCCAACATTGCATGTTCACTAGCGTCCCCCATCTCCGCAGATTTTTGATAATAAATGAATGTGATATATTCGTCCTTTTCAACTCCAATTCCATTTCGATAACAATATCCAACGTTATTTATTCCAAGAGCATGACACATTTCAGCAGATTTTTGATAATAAATAAATGCTTTATACTCATCCTTTCGACTCCAATTCTATTTTGATAACAATATCCAACATTATATGTTCCTTGAGCATTTCCCATTCCTGCAGACTTTAGATAATAAATGAATGCCTTATATTCGTCCTTTTCAACCCCAATTCCATTTCGATAACAATATCCAACATTATAAGTTCCATTGCGTCTCCCATCTCTGCAGACTTTTGAAAATAAATAAATCCCTTATATTCATCCTTTACCACTCTAATTCCATTTTGATAAAAATACCCAACGTTATTTGTTCCAAGAGCATGACCCATTTCAGCAGATTTTTGATAACAAATGAATGCCTCATGTTCACCCACTTAGACTCCAATTCCATTTTGATAACAATATCCAACGCTATATTTCCCGCCAGAATCATCCATCTCCGCAGATTTTTGATAATTAACGAATTCCTTATGTTCATCCTTTTCAACTCCAATTCCTTTTTGATAACAATATCTAACATTATATGTCCCAGCAACATGACCCATTTCTGCAGCTTTTTGATTGTAATAGAAATACTTGTGATAATCTTTCTTAATTCTTTACCGTAATAATAACATTGTCCAATTTGAAATATTTCATAACCATAATTTAAGTCAGCGGCTTTTTGATAATATTCGAAAGCTTTGCGTTCGTTCTTCATGGCTCCATTACCGTGCTCATGCTGCCAACCTATGTAGCATAGCTCCTCACCGGTCAAATCCATTTTCTTTATTAATATAATTATTAATAGAATTAATAAAAATTCTTTGCATATTGCACAATTTTATATCAAAAAGGCTATACAAACTTAAAGAATTGATTCTCATAACCCGGCGTGTTAAATTGCACAGAAGCTTTAAATTATTCTTTATTATATGAACGTACTTTTTTAAAAAATCTATAAAAAATTTTCAGATGATTTTTATATATAAAAGTTTTTAAAAAAATAAACTTAAAAGTGGGTTATCAGATCATGTTTAAAATTTTATGTTATGAGAACAAAATGGCAATCTACAAATTTTAAATTAGATTTATTAGATCATTGTAACACTGAACAAAGCACTTTGTAAAATATTTAACAGCGTTTTTATATTATATTGTTTAATGTAACAATGTGGAAATTTGCACTAATATAAGATTAAACCGTCAACGTATATAAATTGTGCAGGATGGTGATTTAGCTCGCAAAATACGGTACTTTCAACATGCTTTACATTATAATTATGTATTATTGATTGTTCAATTTTTTTCGAAATTACGTGCCTAATTACGTGCATTTCTGTGTACTACACGACACATATTATGCATGTGTAAACCTAAAACAATAATTAAGTACGTACGTACCCTATTGGCAATTTTTTTAGGTGTCGCTATTGATGTGTACCCTAATTCCCCCACCACTTCACTATCGGAGAACTATACTCCAATATGTGAATAATTAGTAGAACCAATCATAAGTGGTGGGGGGAAATTAGTAAATTCGCTATTGATGGCTTAGAAATTAAAACGCATACGCTGTGATTTATGCACGCCTTGAATGTGTGCCAGGTTTTGAGGCGTAGATTTCTTCGACTACAAATCAGATTTCAAGATCAGGTGGAACGTAAACAAGCGTTCGTTTTGTCAAAAATCACTTATTTCTCAAAAAATGGCATAAGAAACCACCTTTAGTACTCTAACAAAAATTTTTCGATGGGTAATTTTACAGTACAAACTGGGCTAAGTGCTATTAAAAAGGGTGAAATCAACAAAAAAAATGATAATCAATTTTTATATTATAAATATTGTAATAAACTATAAGAAATTATAAATTTTGACAACCTTTGTGTATTAAGTAAAAATGATCCTAATTATATTCTAAATTAATTTATGTAAAAACAATTTTAAAAAATTTGTCAATTTTCTCTGTTTCTATAGCACCTAGTCCAACTACTTCACTCTAATTCCGTAATTACTAACCCTTACCATAACTAAACGAGCTTTAATGAATGTCGGCGGATTCACAAACAAGGGCAAAATCGTCCATCAAAAAAAAAGGTTCAAGTAAAATTTCGTTTTTAGGTTAAGGTTAGGGTTTCACCATTAGATTTGTGCCTAGCGATATTTCTTATGAAAAATTTACAAGGAAAACTTGCAGTTTCATAGACTAAATATTGGGATTGAATTTTCCTATTTTCCTGATCTGCTACGTACACCTGATCTTGAGATTTGATTGGTAAGGAAACTGCTTTGATTTACACAGTCAATTTCGCTAAAAAAATTTCCCTACTAGATTAAAGTTAGGTTTTGCTATTAGTTTAGGTCAATAAGAGCTCTCTGATACCAAAATTTTGCGTAGAAAGTAGTTTCATGGTTTGTTTTGATTTACTGAGTAGCACATGATCTTGAAGTCTGATTGGCTAAACACATCAGTTATAATTCCAGTCAAAATTGTTGATCACTTGATCAGATCTGGTTAAAATTTGGCCAAATGATCGACAATTTTGACCGGAATTATAACTTATGTGTTTCTACAACTGATGAGATTTGATCCCCCGAGATGAATTAGCAAGATGACAGCTACTCATACCTCATAGATAGAAGGTCTCCTGACTGGCAGTTTAATTTTACATTATTTATACAGTTTAGAGTACTTTTGAAACCTGATCATAATGAAATAAAAAATGCTGTATAGAAGGTTTAATTAGAACTGTAGGACCCATAATCAAAAATAAGATCTAATCCTCGTCCGTTTAAAAAAATTAGCTTAGAAATAAGTTGATCTTATTTTGACTATGGAGTCCTACAGCTGAAGCTTTTTTATTTATTATGAATAATTTTCGATTTCAAAAAAAGTATTAAATTAAATTTAATTTATTAGCCAATCAGACTAACTTCTACTTATGAACCCATGCAATGTACATTCATTGTTTTTACATTTACAATGATTTTTATTATATGCAATTTTGGAATTACATTTAATATTATCTATTGTGAAGAGTAATTTATGATAAGCACTTTTCGAGTATAGTTGTTGGTAGAATTGGTTTTGTAAATTAATACGGCAACGGCATGTGCCGTATTTTTTGCCGTAATTCTTTTGTGCCGTAATGCCGTAATGTTATAGTTGCCGAAATACTTTAATGCAAACTTTAAAATACTTTCAAGCCTGAAATTATTTATTAATTAGATATTTTTTTTACCATTATGTATACCAGGAACGGAGTTTGTACAACGTACAACGGGATTTACTTATTTGTGCCGGTAATACAATCCAAAAAAGGAAATACCAGTACGATCACATTTTTTGTGTAACATGAAATGTGGTAGGGATGGTTTCCTTCAACTTTTTTGATGTCGCTTATGCTGATTTTTGCAAAATCCTTTTTTAGTAGGAGTAATGAATTTCGTTTATCCATTATTGGAAAGAGTTAAGATTTTTGCATACCATATGATGTAGCTACATATTGTTATCTGGCTAAGTCACGTGCCACGTGACACGGCTAACCAAATAAGGGTGACCCGGCTAGAAAAATCAGAATCGTCAGAAAGGACCGAAATGTAGGAAAAGTCCTTTCCGACGAAAAGAGCGAAGTAAGTAACTTAGTCGGTAATGGAGGGATCACTAATATAGTCGTAATCATTATAGTCTTAGATAACGGTAATATAGACCAAGAAAATGTATATAAAATATTCTTATAAATAAAGGCCGTAAAGGCCCTAAGGAGGGAGAGACCCCTTAGATATTTTGCTTTATTAAAAATAATAACCGATCCCTTACATATTAATAAATACATAAACATCTCCCTTAATACATTAACTAATCGCTAAGTCTCTAGACCATAAAAACCTGCTTCTTGCAATTATCTGTTTTAACCCGTAATATTGTTACACCCCCATCTGGCTGTTGTATCCTAAAGTACCAGGATCAGCCATGGTCACTCGAGTCCAACTATCCGAAGAAGTGTGATAGTTGAGGTTATATGTATAGTCCAATTACCCGAAGTAGTGAGGTAATTGAGGGTTAAAGTTAGTAGACAGCTCAAGCAAGGAAAAGCAAGACAAGTAAAGAAGAAATACTTACCTACGGACCCAAACTACTGATCAAATCTAAATGCCTTGTTTCGACTAAGCCAACCATAGGTTACATGAAGTTTTGGATTGTGGAGTGACTGACTCGCCATAACGCCCGATTTCAATATGCAGACACAAATATGTCATTATGATGTAAACTGACTTACTGATTACATATTAATTTCATCATAATGCGAAGATGCTGATTATTAATATTAATTTTCAACAGTAACTATTACTGGTTACATAATTTTTTTTTTCTTTTTTACTGCATTTCTTTTTTTATTTAGGTTCTGTAGTTTTGGATTTTATCTTTCCATCATTAATGTTTGTTATGTTGTCGTTAATTGGTACTTTTGTCTTGCTTTTGTCATTGGTGTCATCCATTTTGGTATATCATTTGTTGCTGGCATTGTTGGTCTGGTGTTTTTGTCTTTTTTTTCATTTGATTATTAGCACTACTTTGCATTTCTTCTTTTCTAAATTCTTTATATAACAGTTTCGGATTTCAGCACTTTTCGTCATTGATGTCGTGTATCTTTTGCACTAGTGTCGTAGTTCAGTTTTTTTTTTGCTTCGTTTAGTCCTTGGTACTAACTTTCCTGTTTCTTCTTTAAGTTCTTTAGGCTCATGATCTATTAATCAAAATTGAATGATTTTTATACTGTTCAATTCATTTTGAAGAGATAAATCGAATTGATAGGTTACAAGTTGTTGCTATTTAAATGCTGCGAAAGTAAGAGAGTATTGTGGCATGCTGATATTATATTGTGGTGAGTTTATAATATTCCATGATTTTATATCATTCGATTTGCCTCGAAGAGGCAAATTGAATGATATAAAATCGTTTGATTCGAATCGTCAGATCACGAGTTATAATAAATTTAACACAATAACTCCTTTACTTATATTTATTGGTTTTTTTTCAGTTCTGTTTAATTTACCTGGAAAATAATGTTGCATTTAGTAACTGATTTTATCAAATGAATAGTCGGAATTTTACTTGTCGCAGTATGATCATACTGGTTCTGCACTGTGTCACATGCTGCGCAGCTACCCTAATTTGATTTTATAAATAAACAAAGTGCATAAAACACAAATTTAGGGTTGGAACATTAACATTAGAGGCTATAGTGATAAATTATCATTCATTATATGTAAAATTTCATTTTTGACATTTTTAATTAGTACACCAAGGCTGGTTTAAACACTAGTTTTTGAGTTTTTTTTTTGCTTTTTCTTCTTTTACATATGTTAAGAATTCATGTCAGGCTGATCTGGAACGATCAAATTTGAATTCACTGATTGGCTATTTTCTTTTTAGGAGTTTGTATTACTAGCACAAATAAGTAAAGCCTATACAACATAGTGTACATACAATGAAGTGTATAGTTTACAGGCGATTCAGATGTGGATGTACAAAATCTTGGATATGATTAGATAATTGATCCTTGTAACTTTGTGTAGCACCCCGAACAATACTTTAAAAGGAACAAATGCCTCTGTACGCAAATCTTAGAATTGATTGGTCCGCATGACTTATTCATCATTCATATTTTTTAAAAAAACATAAATGAATGCATACATCCATAAACTCAAAGATGCTATAACAAAGAATAGTAAAAATAAGTTTTTTAGACACAAAAATTAGTGTCTCAATATAAATTTAAAGGCCTTAATGCTTAATATTTAGTAATTTTCATTTTTTTTCATCAAATTTTTTATCGGGCTAATAAAATGATAATCACTAATCATCAAAAACTTAATTGAAGGAATTCGTCGATCATTTCTAAATACAGATATGTTTCGTAGATTTTTAATGTTTTTTGCAGGGCCCCAGAATTTTGGG